TCGCCTAAGCCCTTCGCAGGAACCCTCCAGGGAGCTGTGGCGGCCGTCTGCTCGTGGCCCGCAGCTTCCGCATCGGATTCGCTCGTGGCCCCCTGGCCCAGGGGCTCTCGAGGCTGCCTCTCTGCCTGCCTCGTGGCGCCATCGCTGACCAGTGCGCCTCGCGCCCGCGTGCTAGGCTTAAATCGGGCCTGTCCCTCTGCAGGAGGAACATTCAAGAACAGTAAAAAACTCGTCAGGTGTCAATTTTTCCGGTATTTTTCACCATTTTGGGGATTTTTTTGATTATTCCTCATTTCTCGTCCAGAATCCCTCTGTAAGGGGACATGCCCGACCTAATGCTAGGCAGGCAGGCAGGCAGGCCAAGGACGAGGACAGGTCGCTCCGGAGTGTTCCCGAGAGCTCGCAGTGCGTTCCGGACCGCCGTGGAGCGGTCGCGGCGCCCGACATCTCCAGAGCCGCTGGCCCTCTCAGAGGTCTCCACGCACGGGAGCGTGTCTTCCTCTCGTGCCGTCGCCTGCTCGGGGTCCTTTGACAGGGCGAGGGAAGAGCGGGGTCCCCTGCGGAGCTGCGGAGGTCGGGGGGAAGCGAACGCGCCAGCGGGCGCACCGCACCAGGGCCTCGGAGTCGGGCTCACCAGCGACACGCGCGGGGATGCCGTCACTCTGCAGGCGCGGCAGCACCTTCTCTCCACCATCCTTCTGTCCACCGTTATCCTCCTCTTCCTCTCGTCCATCCGTTCGTGCCCCATCTTCGTATTCCGCTCGGTTGTCTCTTTTTGCTGTCTCCTCGCTCCCTCTTTCAGTATCTGCCTTGTAATGCCCCTCGCCTGGGTAGACGCCCATCTGATCAGACTGACTTGCTCTTTGGACGTGTCTCCCTCGTGTGATCTCGCGTCTTTTCTCCTCCTCCCTGCTTTTTTTGCCAATATTTTGCCTTTTTATGTTGATGCGTCTATTCGTCTTAAAATGATTGTTATGATTATGTCCTTCTTCTTCTCCTCCTCCTCCTCCACCTCCCTCAGCGCTCCTTCTCACTCTCCTGATCAACCTCTTCGCTCTTCCTCTTCCGCCTCCTCATCCTCCTCCTCCTCCGCCTCCTCCTACTCCTCCTTCTTCTCCTCCTCCTCCTCCTCCTCCTCCTATCCTCCTCACACCTCCTGCTGCTTCTCCTCCTGCTCCCTGTTCCTTGATTCCCTTCCTCGTCCACTGCCTCCTCAGTCCTGCAGAACTCTTTGTGAACAATTACACAATATGAAAATACTCTCCCACTTCCCCTGATGGCGTCCGGAAGATATTCGGCACCCCCCCGCGTACTGTTTTTTTACACACAGGATTCCCCGGAGTTGGGTTTTCGCTTGTGTTTTTTTCTAAAATGCTGCTCTCGCTGAGGCGCCGGCCTCATTTCTGCTCCCGAATCGTTCCGAATCGTGCTCCCGCTCCAGCGTGGGCCTCATTTTCGGATCGGTGTTTGGCCTCCGTCGTTGAGGATGGCGTTCTCGCCCCAGCGCGGGCCTCTTTCTCGCGCGCCCATCCGCCCGCCACCACCGCGCCGCAGACCACCACCACCACCAACCACCACCACCACCACACCACCACCACCACCACCACCACCCCACCACCACCACCACCACCACCACCACCACCCCACCACCACCACACCACAAGCACCAGCACAGCACCAGCACACACACCACAGCACACACCAGCCCCAGCACCAGCACCACCACCAACACCACACCAGCACCAGCACCGCACCACCACCACCACCACCACCACCCACCACCACCACCACCACCACCACCACCACCACCACCACCACCACCACCCACCACAACCACGCACACACGCACGCACGCACGCACGCGCACCACCACCCACTAGTTACGCACGCGCGCGCGGAGCCACAGGTCCGCTACGACACGCGTCCGCGGATAGAGATGGTAAGGGATGGGAGGGATGGGTAGGACGTCAGATATGACGCGAGCGCACCTAGCTTGGCATCTCCCCTCCCTCCCCTCCCTTGTCCTGCTCCTCATCCGTTCGCCTCCGCCTCCTCGTCGTCCTCCTCCTGCCCACTGTTCCCTGCTCTCGGCTTCCGGAACTCCCTGCCCCAGGAGGCCCCAGAGAGGCCGAGGAAGCCCGCGCAGGCACCAGCAGTTTCCCTCCTCCTCCTCCTCCTCCTCCTCCTCCTCCTCCTCCTCCTCCTCCTCTTCCTTCCCCCCACCCTCAGCCCTGCACTGGTTGCACGGGATGATGTGGCGCTCCTGGCCTGGCCGGCGCTGGTCACTGGCACCCCCGGGCCTGCCTGGCCTGCGCCTCGGCACCGCCCCCCTCGCGAGCACCGCCCCGCGAGCTTCGCCGCTCCCCAGGCTTTCTCCGCGCTCTGGGGGCTGCTTCTCCCCGCCTGCCTGGGCTGGGCCCTCGCCTGGCTTCGTCTCCCCTGAGATCCGACGTTGCAAAAAATATGCAACATCGCAGAAAATCACGCCCGGAGCCCCGGACTCCATCTTTCTGCGTCATCTGCCGAGCCGGATCGATCTGTGAGGGCCCTGGGGCCCGAAATCGAGGGAAAACGCCTTTGGTGGAAAAATGGCAGCGCCAGGATCTCGGGGTCCCCCCCCCCCTCCACCGCGGCTCCACCGCTGCGGTTCGCCACCGCGCCCCGCCTCGTCTGCACGCGCTGCGCGCCGTCTCCCGTCGTCTCGCCTCCCTCGCCTCTCTCCCCCCCGCTCCGCGCGGTACCCCCCGCGAGCGCCTCTCGGTCGATCCTCGAGGGGCCGGTCCTCGTCGTCTCCTCGCCTCGCGCTCTGGGCCGGCCGCGCGCGTTTCGTCTCGCCCAACTTTCTACGCCTCGACGCTGCGCGCGGGGCCGCGACGCGACGGTCTTTCTGTCTCTCCCTTTCTCTCTCTGTCTCTGTCTCTGTCTCTCTGTGTCTTTTTTGTTGGTTCTCGCTCTCTCTCTCTCTCTCTCTTTCTCTCTTGCCCTCGTCCTCTTCCTCTTCCTCTTCCTCTTCCTCTTCCTCTTCCTCCTCCTTGCTTCCCCCTGCTGCCCCAAAGGCCATCCCCCCCCCTGCTGCTATCTTCCCCCACCACTCTTCTCCCTCGCCCGCTTCCCGTTCCGCTTCCTCTGCTCCCCGCCTTCCTCCCCCCCTCTTCTCCCCGTCTCCCCCCGCTTCCCTCCCTCTCGTTCTCCGTCGCCCATCCGTCCGTTGTCCTTGTGCGCGCAGCTCGTCCTCGTCTGGGCACCGGGCGCGTCGGCAGGGCCTGCCGAGTGTTCTGCCGGAGTCTTTCCCCCCCTGCTCGTGGGCCAAAAGCTGGAACTCTCCAGCAGCTGCACGGATAGAGGGAGACCTCTCCGACACGTGCGCGGCGGAGGAAGACGGGGTCGACAGCGCCGACATGCGTGCGTGAGCTGCCCGCGTAAGGTGGCACGTGAGCGCCCTCGCTTCCGGCGCAGCGTGCCGCGCTGGAGGCTTGCGCACGCTGCGGCGTAAGGTCGCCGTGCCATCTCGCGTGGGGCCCTCTTTCTTGTCGTCGCTCGTGTGACCATCGCCGACGCGCTGCGCGCAGCTGTCTGGCATCGCCTACATTCTAGTTGCACGGACTGATTGGGGCCGTTGTCGTCATTTTCGCTTTAGCGCTGCGCGCATTCGTCATGCCAGGGTCCAAGAGTTGCCCAGATGGAGGGGGGCTCTTTTTCAAGATGTGGCTCTCGCCTTCGCGCCGCGTGCACCCGCCTCAAGAATTCCCGGCAGTGACACCGCAGGGGGGCGGTTCTTTTTCACAAGGGGGCTCTCGCTGGGGTTCTGCGCGTATTCGTCTTACGAGTAGCAGCCTCACGGATGTAGCACGGGCCATTTTCAGAATGTGGTTCTCGCCTACGCGCTGAGCACTTTCGTCGTCAACGTTTGTGAACCGATCCGATTCGAAAGGCAGTGTGAACGGTTGCCCAGCAGCGCCTGTTTTTGTTGTGCTGCTTTGCTCTTTGCTGTCACGACGTCGTTGCTTCCCACTCCGTCTTGGATGTTGGGTCCAGCGTGGATAGCCCCAGGAGCGTTGGGGGGCGAATCGTGTGGGGGGGGGGTCACGGGGCCGTCTGGCGTGGTGGAGCGGGGAGTGGTTGGATCGCGTCGTCGGGGGGGTGGGTTCGGTGTGCGTCGGGGGGGCCGGAGCCGGCCGTCGCGTGAGGTGGCGTCGGGGTCTGGCATGCCCAGGACGGAGGACACATCGTTCCGGAGCGTTCTGTAACCGGCGCCACCCCAGCATACTACTACGATGTGTGCGTGCCCCCCTGGGGCGACGCGCGCACCGAGAAATCCTTAGTGTGTGTGTGTGTGTGTGTGTCGTGGCGGGCGCTTTCTGGCCACACCGCTCGGGAAACGATAGACTACAAGATGGGTATACTATATGTTAGGGTCGGACGCGCGCCTCGCAGGAGGACAGATTGTACTAGTATGTCTCTGTGCGTCCCATGGAACACTCTCAGAGCGTTCCAGCGGCGCTTGGGACATCATCCGTGCCCGCTGGCCATGAGAGATATCTGCTTTTTCCTTTCGTGAGGTCTTCTTCTTCATCCGACCCTCGTCTCATGGCGTGATAGGATGAAGACAAATTAGGATGAGGACAGGTCGGGAGTCTCCTTGTCCCTCCCTTCGTGTCCCGTTCTCCCCATAGTCCTTGCGTAGCCATTTTTGCTGGGGTGCTCAGGGTCAGGCCGCCTCTCTCGCGCACGGGGGGGGGAGCGCCCTGGCTCCGTGGCAAGGGCACGGAGCCGCGTCCAGCTCCTGACGGGATGCGGTCGGCCACCCTCATGCCCGACGTCGAGGAGACCTCCGACCTGAGCAAGTCCCTGGAGGAGAAGCTGCAGGCCGCGCTGGAGCAGGCTGGCGGGGCCGCGTCCGATGTCGTGCTTGTACTCGACCTCGACGAGACCCTGTTCACGCCGCTGGCGGCCGACGGACTCGCGACCAGCGTCTGGTTCGAGGACCTCCTGAAGCGCTGGGCGCCGCGGCTTCGGGACGCCGACGGCATGACGAGCGAGGACACGCTGGAGCAGGCTCAGCCGCGCGCAGAGGGAGGTAGGGGGGAGGGGGGGAGGCTTCTGAAAAGCACCCCTGCTTCTCAGAGGGCGCGGGCTTCAACTGTAGCGATGCAAGGCTGGCGCCTTTTGAGCAGCATCGTCCTTCCAAGAAGCTGAAACGCCCCCTGACCTACACCCTTGTGCGCGCCGCCAACAGGCGCTTGCGGTCGTGGACCGCTTCTACGCCCGCGTGCCCGTCGGCCCCACCGACCCCTCGCTCGGAGGCCTGCTAAACTGGTGCCGGTCCGAGGGGGTGGTGAGCATCGGGCTGACGGCGCGGCGGCCCGCGCTGGCTGCCGTGACCTGGGAGCAGGTGGGCGACAGGGTGCCGCTGGACTTCAACAGCCAGGCCCTGCCCCTGGGCCCGGACACCATGCGGCGGCAACAGAAGGTACCGTCGAGCATATGATCAGGAAACCTCCTGCCGAAAAGCTGGGCCAGCGTTTTTTGGCCAGCTTGCCGGAAAGGCGGCCCAGCTTCTCGATCGCGTTCGCCCTTGCAGCATGAGCCGCGGAAGTTGGCCCAGGCTTGTTTTTAGTAAGCTTCTGGGAAGGTGGTCTAGGTTTCTTGACTCACAGCTTTCTCGATCACATTTTCGGCTGTATGGTCACGCCGGGTGTTGTTTGCGATCGGCGCCCCTGGGGCCTGGGGGGCACGACACTGTCCTTGTCGGGCCTCTCTGGGGCGCGGCGGGGAGCTCTGTGGAGGTCCCGCCCGCCCCCCAGGGTGTCCCCCAGGGTGCCGGTTGCAAACCGCACCCTTTGCAAACCACACCCTTCGGAGCCGCCGAGCCATCGAGCGGATGGACAAGTCCCTGCGCTCCAGCGGCCACTTCGCTCCCGACCGCACAGCGGCGACGTGGGAGGGCCTCTCCTTCGAGAGGGGCGTGTGGTTCACGGCGAACGCCAACAAGGGTGCGGTGCTGCGGCAGGTGCTGCCGCCAGGCAGGCACGTGGTCTTCGCCGACGACAGCCTGCGGCACGTTCATGCCGTGAGGGGCGCGCTGGACGGACATCGGCGGCACACCAACATATTAATACGATGTGTGCGTCGCCCCACCAGGGGCGACGCGCGCACCGAGAAGTCTTACCAGAGTAAGGGGGCCGAACGGTCATTCATTGTCCCTGGGTGCGTGGCTGAAGTGGGGACCCGTGGTGAGGATTCTGCTTGTTGCGTTGCTCTTGTTTGTTTGTTGTCGTCGTCCCACCCGCGACCCACCCCGCGACGCACCTGGCGACCCACCCCGCGACCCAACCCGCGACCCAACCTGGCGACCCACCCGCGACCCAACCCGCGACCCACCCGCGACCCACCCCGCGACCCACCCGCGACCCAACCGTGCCCACCCGCGACCCACCCTGCGACACTTGCGACCCACCCGCGACCCACCCCGCGACCCACTCGCGACCCACTCGCGACTCACCCGCTACCCAACAGCTACCCACCCGCGACCTACCCGCGAACTATTTGCGACCCACCCGCGACCCATCCGCTACCTACCCACGATTGGTTTAACGAAAAATTGGCGCCTGCGGCGGGCTCGTTGTATAACTTGTGGAACTTTGGCGCCTGCGGCGGGCTTCTCCAGGGTCTCGCAAACTGCCGACGTCCTCACCGCCCCCTCTTATCCGCATCTGCGGGGTGCTACGTAATAGATGTCTCGTGGCGGGCGCTTCCTGGCCACACCGCTCGGGAAACGATGTACTCCAAGCTGGGTCTACTACATGTTCGGCTCAGACGCGCGCCTCCAAGGAGGACATATCGTATCAGTGCGTCCCTGTGCGTCCCAGGACACGCCGCTTCTGTGTTCGGGCTCCACTTCACGGCGGCCACCGCTGCAGCGCGGAAGAGGCTCGATCCGCCGAGCTGCGACCGCTCGCTGGCGGGGCACCTCTCCGCGCTGTTCTCGCAGGGCGACCCCGGGGTCGCCGGCCTGGTGCGCGAGGGGCAGCCGCTTCTGCGGAGGTTCAGCGCCAGGGGCGGCAGAAGCGGCACGCCTTCACCGCGCGTCGTCCCCGCTCCTCGTGTGGGGTAGCCGAGCACCACCGCCGGGAGAGAGAGAGAGAGAGAGAGAGAGAGAGAGAGAGAGACAGAGAGAGAGAGAGAGAGAGAGCGCCACTGGATCCCCCTCCACTTCGGACCGCGGGGTGTGCTCGCACAACTCTCCTCCCCCCCCCTTGCCCCCCCCCCGTTTGAACAGGGGGGGAGGAGTTTTCGAATCCCCCCCCCCCTCTCTCCCTGTCAAAGGGTGGGGTTTTGGTTTTCGGACCTCTCCGCTCCCCCCTGCGCGCCAGAGACGCGAGGGGGAGGATTTCGGACCCTCCCCTCCCCACTCTTGGCGCTGGAGAGGGCTTGGGGGGGGGGGACCCCCCCGCTCCTATCTTTTGGCGCCGATTAGGGTGTTAGGGTTAGGGTTTTACGTATAGGGCGTCAGGGTCACCTATTGCTTGCGCGACCCCTTCCCCGCCCTAAACCCACCCCGTCAGATCGACGACCTGTCGTCTTATCGCGTCCACGCTGTTTTTGCGTTTTCTGCATCATCCGAACATCTCTGGGCCATCTCGTGGCGGCCTTGGGGCGTGCCTGAGTCTCGCTTTTGCCCCGTCCCATCATATCGACCTCCTCAACAATCTGAACGCGTCAACGTGGTCTGATTCATCTGCTCCTTGACGCCTCCTGCAGCGACGAGGACGGTGAAACTGTGAAGATGCGGATGTGGATGCTGCTGCTGCTGCTGGCAATGGCGATCCTGGGAGCGCTGTGGGATCGTTTGGAGGGTCTGGGAGCGTGTCCCGGGAGCGCGCCGTGCAGCCTCGTGGCGACTCTTGCGACCTGGGCCCCTCGCATGTTCGAGGCCAGGCCCACCCGCGAGGGCCCCGGGGGCGGCCCGTGGCCGGGCGGACGGCATGCCCGGTGCGCAGAAGAGCAGTGCGGTGCGCGGGGGGCGGGCAGGAGGCGGGGGGGTCAAGGGGGGGGCGGCCGAGGCCCCAGTCGCCAGGGCATGCCTGCAGCTCTGCACGGCGCGGCCGGGAGCGGGTGTGGGGAGTCGGGGGCCCCCAAGCGGGGCGGTGACCACACCGTGTGGTGAACCGGTGGGGATTCGGGGTCACCGCGCGGTTTTGGGACTCGGGCCGTTCTCCGAGGATGTCCAGGGCGACATGGGGCCACCAGGGTCCCAAAGCCGTGCGGTGACGGACCGTGCGGTGAGGTGTTGGGGGATTTCGAGGTCACCGCACGGTCCGCCACCGCACTGTTGCGGGACTCCAGAGAGAGGGTACCTCGAGCAGCCACGCGCAGAAGGGGGGGGGCTGAGTGGGATTCGGTGGCAAATCGTGGGAGCCTTGTGTGCCCTCGCAAGTTCGTTTCTAGCGTCGATCAAGTCGGCTATCGTCTGGGAGTCGATGAAACAGCGCTAATTTAGCGTCGGCTAGCGTCGAGTAGCGTTGACTTAGCGTCGACCGCCGTCGATCAGCGTCGGCCAACAAGATGGTGTGGGAGGCTCCCATGAGTTGTCACAAAAGGGGGATGGGGTGAAGGCTTCTCACTTACACCCCTGATTCTTAGAATGCGCGGGCTTTGTCTGTAGATGTGAGGCCGGCGCCTTTTCAGAAACAGCCTCCATGTCAGGAGCCTGTCCCCCTTCCCAGCTACCCTCTTGTATGCGCCGCCATCTCGACGCACGGCTGCAATTGTCTTGGCTGGGCCAGAGTCCTTGTCAGAGGTCAGCCAGTCTTTTCCAGCGACGCTGTCTGTCCGTGACACGCCCGCCCCCAGGATCTCGATTCCTTTCCCTGGGCAAGGCTTTCCCCCCCGAGTATTTGTTTGACGGGCCCGTGACCAGGACACGGCTTCCAGATGCCATGCCAGAAGATCAAGCAGTGGCGAAGCGTCTTGGCGTGCCTATAGGTCTACCAAACAATGTTGTTTTTCCCTTCACGAAGCGTTCTTAGCACATTTCTGGCTGGGACTGTCATGTTTTATCACATCGGGTTTATGTTCTAACAACATGGCTTTTGTTCTTAAAACATTCGGGGGGTCTAAAACAATTTCATGGTAGGCCTACAGGAATGCCGGAACGGTCGGTCCCTGCTCGAGCAGAGCCCCCCCCCCAACTGGCCGCCGAGATGCTTCGTTCACGCTGCCTGGACTTGGGGGACGGGCCCCGCTCAGCGGGCAGAGTCGCCGAGCGTGCTCTCCCGCGCTGTCGGCGTCGGGGGGGGTCCTCTTCGTGCCCAGAGGCCCGCCGGCAACCAAACCGCGGGGGACAAAAGCTGGGCCGTCCTCTCCCATGATGGGCCTGTCTTCCACCACCACCGCCATAAGTTGGAGGGGGGAGGGAGGTGGAGGAGGAGGAGGAGGAGGAGGAGGAGGAGGAGGAGGAGGAGGAGGAGGAGGAGGCCCCCTCCCCCTCCAACTTATGGTGGTGGTGGTGGTGGAAAACAAGCCCATCATCCCATCTCGCACGCCTCACTGGACGTGTGGAGGGTTTGTCGCTGGGTTGTTCGATCTCCTCTTCTCCCCCATGAACATCACCGGGCGCGTTCCACTACTCGCAAGGTGCCTACTCGCAAACGTCCTGAAAAAATGCCCGCCTCGATGCAATGGGTCGCAAATCCTCCTCGGCGGAGCCAGGCTATTGGCGAGTAGCTACTCTGCGAGAAGTGGAACGTGCTCTTTTGGAATACAACAAAAGCTGGCCTGCCCTCTCTGTCGGCCACGCGCAGAGGGGAGTATGGGGAAGAGGGGAAGGCTTCTCGGAAGCGCTCTTGCCTCTCAGAAGGCGCGGGCCTTGTCTGCAGATGTAAGGCCGGCGCCTTCTAAGAAGCGGCCTCCTTCCAAGAAGCCTTCCCCCTCCCCCTAGCCTGAAATCCGACGTCGCGAAACACTTGCACCACCCTGTAAAACATCAAAATATGACGACCGGAGCCCTAGACCCCGCCTTGCTGCTTCCCTTTGTCGAGCTGGGTCGATGCGCGATGGCCCCGGGGCCCGAGACCGGGCGAGACCGCGCGCGCGGTGATAGAAAGATGGCAGCGCGGGGCCCGTGCGCGCCGCCGACTCTGCCTCCCCCGCATCGCGGAGCAGGCGGCCTCCCAGGGCGCCGCGGCGGCCCCCGGCCTGCGCGCGCTGGCCGCGGCCCTGGCCGCGCCTCGCGCCTCCGGCAGCCGCAGCGCCCGCAGTCGCAGCGGCGGCCGCGGCGGCGGGCCCGCGCCGCGCGGCGGGGCGGCGGCCTGAGGCCGCCGCGCCGCCCAGGCGTGGCCGCGCCGAGGGTCGGCCGCGGCGGGGCCTGACTCACCGAGCGCGTTCCGCTACTCGCAGAGTGCCTCCTCTCAAACGCCCGGACAGCACATCTGCTTGCCTCTATGGTGTATGTATGTATGTGTATATATATATATATATATATATGCATGTATGTATGTATGCATGTATTTATGTATGTCTGTCTGCAGTACGTATGTCTGTCTGTCTGTCTTAGGTCGGAAAGTGTCTACCTGGGCGCAGCACTAAGAGCGGAACGCCCAAAATAAACAAAACCACCGCCGGAACCATTAATAACATCTTATAACATCAAAGTGACACGTATGTGTAATTCATAGATTTCTGCCACATGCGCTAGGGTTAGCAGTTTTCGGGCAACGTGACAACACAACGCACTTTAACGAATTTGATGGAGCACGTTACGTGGAGGGGGCAAAGGGTGGTTGGGAAGAACAGATCTGAGCGTTTCTGGTTGCTGCTCCACTTCCGTCCTCCCGGCATATCTTTCCCGGCATATCTTTCCAGCGCCCTCTTTCGTCTCTTCCTCCGCAGCTCTTTCTCCTGTCTCTCTCAGGCCACCGTCGGTCCCCTTGTCAACGCAACGTCGCTCCATTCTTCCCTCCTCTCTTCCATCTGGCCAAGCCTTACTCCCTGGTCCGTCTTTTCTCGCCCTTCTCTCAAGAGGGCTCCTGGTCGCGTCAGGGCGCCACCAAGGAGGGCCTGAAACTGGCCCAAGAGAGCGCCCTAACAGACCCAACACGGCCTCAGAGGACCCTGGACGGCCGCCAAGAAACCTCCCCCCTCTTCCCGTGCACCTCGCCAATGAATAGCATCATGCAGAACGCAAGTTTTCTGGAAGCATGCGTTTGCAAGGTTGTTGTGTTTTCAATTTACTTGATGATGTTCTCTTGTGTTTTCTGTCTCGATTGTTTTTTGTTTTTTTTTTTTTTGGGGGGGGGGGGGGGGGGCTATTGTGCGGGGTATTGCACGGATAGGAATGGCTCACCTAATGTCTGTCTGTCTGTCTGCATGCATGTACGTATGTATGTATGTATGTCTATCTGTATGCACGTATGTCTGTCTATATGTATGTTTGCATGTACGTATGTATATATGAACGTCTGTATGTATGTGCATGTATGCATGTGCTTATTTGTGTATGTTTGTATGTACGCATGAGCGTGTGCAATGTGTGTATGTATGTTTGTATGTAAGTATATATATATGTATATATGTTTGTATGTATGTATGTACGTATGCATATATGTACGTATGTGTCTGTATGTCTGAATGCATGTATGTATGTTCACTTGTATGTATGTATGTGCACATCTATGTAGGTATGCATGCGTGCACATGTGTTTGTTTGTTTGTATATCTATATATGCCTGTATGTATGTATGCATGCATGTATGCATACATGTATGTATGTATGTATGCCTGTATGTATGTATGTATGCATGCATGCATGCATGTATGTATGTATGTATGCATGCATGCATGCATGTATGTATTTATGTATGTATGTATGGATGTACAGATGTATGTATATTTGTGTATATATAGTTGTTTTGTTCGTTCGTTTGTTTGTTTGTTTGTATATTCATGTGTACATATATATATGTATATACATATATCGTAGATCCACCGCGGCGGATCCAAGCCCTTTACGAGTAGTTACTTTGCGAGTCGTGGAGCGCGTTTGTCGACTTATGTTGCGGGCAATACTTGTAGCCATATCCAGAGCGTCTTGGGCTTTTCGGAAAGGGGCGCCGCAAGGCCGAGGCGCACTGGATATGGATAAACATCGAGCCTTCTGGGGCCAGATTCAGATCCATATCCAGTGCGCCTCGGTTTTCTGGGGAAGAGCGCCCCAAACTCCAAGACGCACTGGATGTGGATATAGCTGTTGCCCGCATGCGCGGCGCCGCGGCGCGGTGTGGCGGCCGCGGGCAGAGCGCGCGCCGGTCGGTGGCCCCGCGCCGGTCGGTGGCTGCTTTCTCGGCGAGGGAGGCGTGCGAGGCGGCAGAGCGTGAGCTCCTCGCGGCCGCGTCTCCCCCAGCTTCGGGGAGACGGTTGTCGGGTTGGGTGGATGGGGTTGGGGGAGAAGCGAGGGCCCAGAGATCCAACGCCTTGAAAAAAGAAAGGCGGAGGTTTTTCTCAATTTTCGGCCTCTGGGGGCCCTCGCCGGGCCCCGGGACCGTCAAAAGACGAGTCAGGATGCGAAGCCGGTCCTGGGAGATCGAGACTTCCGGGAATCCCGTAGTGAAATAATCACGACACCGGATCTCTGGGGATATCATTCCTCGTAGGCGGCCGAGGGTATCGTTCACTGCATCCGGATGCTGTTGCTCATGCCTTTCTCCCTCCCAGCCCCTTGCTCTCGGCATGATGACTGTTCTCCTCACAGCTATGCTGGGTTTCCTGGGAGCACCGTTCGGCGTTGGAGATGTCGCGTTTGTGCCAGGCTCACGCGCTGGACTCCACGATGCGGCTTCTGGGAATGTTGGGTGGTGTGCGTTATCCCTGCTTCTCCCCTCCCTGTCCCCCCTCTCCAAGAGTGCGCGTGCTGTGCAAAAAGAGGTGAGCTCCTCGAGGGAAGGAGCGCGAGGAACGACGCCGGTCTTGCGCATGGTCCTCGCCAGTCGTTCGACCAAACGTAAGAGTGACCTTTCGCCTGAGTGACCTTTGGTGCGGGCCCACTGGGGTTCCTCGATCGCCAAAACCATGCGATACAGGCGTCGTGCGCGCTTGTGTTCGGCCCCCCGCGGCCCCCAGAAGCCGCGCACCAAAGGTCACTCTCACCCAGGGTCACTCTTGCGTGCAGCCGAGCCGTCGCCTTTTCGCGAGCATTGCCCACGACTTGACCAAGGTGGGCGGTGATCAAGATCGGCACTGGCGTTTCCGCGCTCAGTCCTGGTCGGGGCCCTCGTTGTCTTGACCTCCAAGGTGCTGAAGAGGGGGCGACGCGCAGGTCGCTCGCACCCTGTTGTTCCCAAGCATCCTGTGGTGCTGGGTCTTCGTTTTGAAGAGATAGCGCCCCACGTCCCTCCTCCTCCTCCTCCTCCTCCTCCTCCTCCTCCTCCTCCCTCTCCTCCCCCTCGTCCTCTCCTGCTCCCCCTCCTCCCGTCAACCATTTCGGCACGCCCCTCACGAGGATCGTGGCCCCGTAGGGAGCTCCACCGAAGGCTCGCATGGCGGCCTCGGGCCATCTCGGCACGCCGCTCACGAGGATCGTGGCCCCGTAGGGAGCTCCACCGAAGGTCTCAGCGGCAGGGTTCGCATGCCGGCCTCGGGCCATCTCCTCTTCCCTCCCCCATCCCCCTCCATCCTCCTCCATCATCATCATCCCCCCTCTTCCGTTCTCCTCCCTCCTCCTTCCTTCTCCCTCTCTCATCTCTCATCCCCCCTTCCCCCTCCCCCTCGCCCTATTCCTCCTCCCGCTCCTTCGTCCTCTGTTCTGTTTTCGTCGTAACGCCTGCCGCCTGCCACCGCTGCGAGACATTCGGCGCAACTGTCACAGCGTGCAGCGCCAGGTGAACACATAGGCGGTTTCTGTCGCATGCCATGCCGCCAGTCGGAGTGTACGTCGTTCCTAGTGCCCTACGCCCCCCGCGTTGGCGCAAACAGCGCAGCATCAGCACGCGGGATCTCGGCTCCACAGGAGCGGGCACTCGCGGCAGTTCCCAACAGCAGCTCGCTGCCGAGAGAGGGGCGAGACGTGCGCTATCGCTTCAACCCAGAGCAGCCTTCAAGGAGTTCAGAACTGCCTGAGGGTCGAGCAGCAGCTTCTCGCTCCCCACAGTCCAATGGCCTGCAGGCAGTCCCCAGAGGCCGAACAAAGATGCAAAGCCTGGCTGGCGCGATGCTGTTGCGTCGCCTGGACCTGAAAGGAGAATGGAGGAGCAGCAAGAGGATGAGGAGGAGGACGAGGAGGAGGAGGAGGAGGACGACGACGACGACGAGGACGAGCAGTAGGAGGACGAGGAGGAAGAGGACGAGGAGAAGGACGAGGAGGAGGAGGACGAGGAGGAGCCTGGGCAGTCGAGCTTCCCACAGAGGAGAGCACTGGCGACCGTCTCTCCTGTCCCCTGCTCTTGCGGGAGGATCCCGGCATGAGCCGCCGGGCGTGCTACCAGTTCTGCTCGGGGCACCGCACGCTCTACTTCGGCGTGAGTCAGGCGGGGCCGCACGGGTCGCGCAGCCAGAGGCGGGGTCGTCGTCGTCGTCGTCGTCGTCTTCGTCGTCGTCGTCGGACGAGGGCTTGAGCCGAGTCCCGTGCTCCGACGCTGCACAGTGCTCCAAGAGGCCGCGATGGGGCGAGCCGTGTGGCGCGAGTGCCCCTCGCGTGCGCCGGTCCACCAGTGGAACCGCTGGCGGGGGCGGAGACCAGCGCGAGCGCAACTGCTCAGAGGCGAGCGGGGGGCTCGGAGGCCCAGGTGGAGCGAGCGACGCCGGGGCGCGCGGGCGGCAACGCAGGCGCAGGAGCGGCCTGCGCGACGGTCCAAAGTCTGGGGCCGCACCGCCAACAGGCAGCCAGGGTGCAGCGCGGCCCTGGATCACCGAGCGCGTTCCACTACTCGCAAAGTGCCTACACATTGTTCGATTCTTATTATTCGAAAGTTCTTCAACTTTTTTGGGGGCCAAGATCCTTTAATTTCTAATTGTTCTATCCTGGGCCTCTTCCTGGCCACTAGGGGGCCTGGAACAATTTGAAACGAGCACAATTGGAAATGAGCACGATTAGAAATGAACGACGTGTACTCGCAAACGTCCGAAACAAACACAGGGTTTCCTCTATGAAATGTATCGTGCATCCCCCGCGGCGGATCTGGGCCACTTGCGAGTAGTTACTTTCGTAGCAGCGGAACACGCTTGTCTACTGGAGGCGACAGGCAACAGGCAGGCTGCCGGCGAGCGGAGCAGCCGGAGCAGAAACAGCCGAGGCTGAGCAGAGGCACCGTGAGGCACCGGCGGCCGAGCAGGGCCCGGGCCCCGGAAAGAGGCGCTGGGCGGAGGGCGAAGGATAGGGCGGCGGCATTGGATGAGGAACGTCTTCCTGGGGCCCAGACCCTGGCGCACTCCTTATTGTTTCCAGGCGAGGTGGGTGGCCCACGTTTGGCCGCCCATCGGTCGCGAGACCCTGGGTTCCTTGTCGAAGGTATCCTGATCTAAAACCTCCACCGTAGGAGGGGGGGATGTCGGGGAGCGAGGGAAGGAAGCGGATGTGAGGGAGGACTAGTTGTGGAGCGGCAGAAAGATGAGGAGGATGAGGATGAGGATAAGGATGAGGATGAGGATGAGGATGAGGATGAGGATGAGGATGATGATGATGATGATGAGGAGGAGGAGGAGGAGGAGGAGGAGGAGGAGGAGGAGAAGGAGGAGGAGGAGGAGGAGGAGGGCCCAGAGGAGCAGGGGGAGGGAATGCCAAGCAAACCGATGCAATGTTAAGCAGTGTTGCAAAGTGCAACGCAATGCCAAACCGAGGATGTGTCATGTTGCAGCGGGCCGCATCGGGGCACGCGAACGTGAGTAATTCGTACGGAATGGACCGAATCCCCGGTTCGCGACAGATTTTCGGGAAATGTGGTTGCGAACCCAGGATTCGGGTCAATTTTAGGGAACACGCCGTGTGGGTCTTGTTGGAGCCCCAGCGGGCCGGCTTGGCGCCCTGTGGAGCCGTCCTAGAGCCATCTAGGGTCGTGTTAGGGAGCTTGGGTCTTCTAGGAACGTTACGGGGGCTACGTAGGGCCTCCTGGTGGCCTCCCATGGCCTTTCTGTGGCCTCCCCCGTGCCTTCTTTGGCTTCTCATGGGCGACTTCTGAGGGCCTCTTGGGCTTCTTTTTGGCTCCTTTGTGGCTTCCTTGGGCAGTCTTGGGGTGCGTAGGCCCTCCTGGTGGCCTCCCATAGTCTTTTTGGGGGCCTCCCGTGCCTTCTTGGGGTTCTCTTGGGCGCCTTCTGGGGGCATGTCGGACCTCTTTTTGGCTCGGCTTCCTTGGGCAGTCTTGGGGCCATCCAGGCCATCTAGAGGCTCTCTTGGGGGCTTTTTGGGTCGTCTCAAGAGCGATACTGTAGGCCTTTCTGGCTGTTGTGGACGCTGCGAAGACCCGAACAGTGCATATGCTGAAATTGCACGTTTCTTTGGAGGCTATCTGGGTCCTTCTTGGGGCGCTCTTGTGCTGTCTTGGGTCTCTCTTCGGCCTCTCTGATCACCGCTCTGATCGCTTGGGGCCTGCTGGCAAGACCCGGCTAGGCGCCCTGGGAGGTCCCAGACGAGCCGGGGGACCTTTGGCAAGGATGTCCGGGGGGCCCCGAAACAACGGATCCTGGGGGTTCGGTCTTGGGAGGGGGGGAAGGGGGGGGTCCCACCCCCGCGGCTGGTAAAAATATAGGAAGAGGAATGCGACTGTGAAAATACACCCTGCGACCAGGCCCCTGGGGCCCGAGGCGGCCCACTTTTCCAAAATCCCCCGCCTCCCCCTCGGTACCGATTGTGTCCCTCGGGGTCCGGGGCTCATTGCAGGCTTTCGGGGGGCTTGTCGGAGGGCCCGAAGGCGCTCCCCAGACGGTCCAGGAGGCCTCCAGGACGGTCCAAGAGCGCGCCAAGACGCCCAAGATGGCGTCAAGACGGCCCGAGAGGCCCCCTAACTCCCCCAAGAGGGCTCCAAGAGGACACCTATGAGTACCGCAAGAACCACACATCGCCGCCCCAATTCTTCGGGGAAGCGTTTATCTTTAGCATATTTTGTTGTTATTAATGGCGTTCACGACGGCCTCAGAGAACCTCAAGATCGCCCCAAGACACCACGAGGCTTCCAAGACAGCCAAAGGGGCCCCAAATATCGCCCAGGACGTCCCTCAGAGGTCTTCAAGACGGTCTCCAAAGGCGCTTGTGGGGCCCAGAGCGCTCTGAGACAGTTTAAGAGGCCGACAAGACACCCCACTCCGCACCCCTCCCTGCTCCTCCCAGATCGTTCCCATTCCTCCCCATCCCTCCCCGCTCCAGGCAAGTGTGCGCGAGGCAGTTGCGTCTCTGGCCGCGAGACCCTGCCAGTGCATACCTACATACCTACATGTGCGACCATCCCCCTTCGGGTGATAAGGAGGGCGTGTGTATGTGTGTGTGTGTGGCTGGGGAGAGAAAGGGGGGACCAACTGGAGCTACAGCGTAGCATCGCATAGCAGAGCACAACACAGCATCGCACCGCATAGCATCGCACAGGACAGCATAGAAGAGCACAGCGTAGCATAGCGTAGCACAGCATCGCATAGTATCCAAAAACATACCATTGCGTAGCACAGTATGGCGTAGCAGATCGCAGCATGGCATCGCATAGCATAGTACCGCATTCCATCACATCACATAGCTTGGCAGCACATTGACAGCACAGCAAAGCATTGTGTAGCATCACGTAGCACAGCATAGCCCAGCATCGCACAGCACCGGACGCGAGGGGACACCACGGGCCACCGCGAGACATCCCCAGGCCACCACCAACCAACTGGGGGGGATACCACGGGACACCGCGGGACACTCCAGCCAGTGCAGCTCCTTTGTGTTCACCGCGGAGGCGATCGTTTAGTTCATTCCGCGTTGCGTGCACACCTGTGGGCAATCGACCATAGAAGTAAGCGCCAGGCTGATGCGTCTCCGTCGGAAGATATCCATGCTATGTCCTGTTGTTCACTCCTTTTCACTCCTTTCAACTCAATCTATGGGCAGCGAGGAATTTCGCTACGCCTTGTGCGCGCACCCTCGGAGTACTGACCAGTCAAGTACGCGCCAAGCGATGCGTCTCTACCAGGATACCTCATCAATGTTCGCTTGTCGGACCTAAGGAATCAGATTGGTACGTTGTACGTGTGTGGCGTGTCGAACGGCGACCGGCCGTCCCCTCCGATGAAAGAGAGGGAGCAAGGAGAGAGTGCAGAGGTCGAGAGGTATTGCATTTTCCTGGATATCTCCCTGGAGAGCTAAGAGGGTTTCAGATAAGAAGCCGACAGGCAACGCAAGCTCCTGTCCAAGCCTTCCGGGCAGCCATCCTCGCAGCGCCCTGCTTGAGGTAGCAGCGGGTCTCGAGAGCGTTATCCTACTCGTTCCCTGAAGCCTTTCCGCAGGACCTTCGAAGCTCCCTCGAAGCTCCTTCGCAGCTTGATTTTCGCAGCTTGCAAGCTCCCCAGGCATGGTTTCCAGCGTCGTGGCAGGTGTCTCCCGCAGGCATTTTCTCAAGCTTGCAAGCTTTCTCTTCCCGGATGGCTCCTTGGAGAGCTACGAGGGTTTTAGAGTAGAAGCGGGCAGCACAGAGTAGGCCAGCCCCTCTCCAACGCCCCCGGGCAGGCATCCCCGGAGCAACTTGCCCGAGCTTCTGCGAAGCGTTCTCCTTCTCGTTCCCAATACGCGTGCCTGAAGCCTTTCCGCAGGTCCTTCGCAGCTTCATCGAAGCTCCTTCGAAGCTTGCTTTTCGAGTCTTGCAAGCTTCCCTTGCATGCTTTCCAGCGCCCTGGGAAGCGTCTCGCAGAAACGCTTTCTTGACTTACAAGCTCCTTGCATGCGTCTTACATAAGCTTTTCACGTGCCTTGGACCGCATCGCTATCTGGGTTTTGGACGCCACAAGTAGTAGGAGAAGGCGACTGGTGAAGCAGGGATATGAGAGTTTCTCGAGCTGGCTCCGTTGCGAATTATTTGCCCTTGTTGTACAGTTTTATTCGTCACCCCATGCTGCGTGGAATCAGGTTGGCCATTCGGGCTTTTTTGAGCACGGTCAACTATTTTTTTGTTGTTGTTCGTTTTTTTGCCCGCAAGGGGTAAGACAAGACGCCGAACATGGCGCGGGCGAGCATGCCCAGGGGCGCCGCGCGCCGCCGCAGTAGCGGCGCGCCGCGGGCCGCGGGGCGCTCACGGCGCGGGCGGGCCCTCCGCAAGCGGGCGGCATGGGAATGGCAAGACAGCTCCCCCGACCCGTTTTGCCGGCTGGAAGCACCCGACCACCGACAGAACGGGCAGGGGCCAGGCAACACCAAGCCCACGCCACCCACCCCAGGGGCCCGCCACGACACGACAGACGCGACAGCGACGGCGACGACACGACGAGGGGGAGACGGACCCCCTGGCACACGACTCCCACGGGGGACACCTGGCTGGGAAGCCAGGCTCCCGTGGGAGACTACGGTAAATTA